CTATCACACCCAGCCTCTTACTACTTTTTAAGTGTACAAAAATTCCTTTTTCATCCCCTTCCCAAAATGAAACAAAAGTGCCCTGGAATTCAAACCACAACTGCTTAGAAGTAGCCATGAAGCATCACTTTTTCAGCTCACTTTGTACATCCCACACTCTAAGGAGTCATTACCACAGTTAATTCTGATAACCATTCCACAGAGTGTGAAGGGCATGTCCTTAAATTCTCCTTTAAATGGAAAAATCTCAAAGAAATTGCTTGCTCAGGGTTTCCTATGGAGAAGAAACAAGACCTTTCCCCTTACGGCCAATCCAAGGAAAAGAGTTGGTAGAGTATGAAGACAAAAAGACTGCACTGGTTAATCCTATCTGCATTTGCAAATAAAATGGGGTAGGGAGAGAGGTGAATTCAGATGGGCAATATTGTTTCCATTTTCTTGACAGCCACCTGGAAAGCAGAACATTATCTTCACACACATCTTTGTTTCCTTGCTGGAGAACACATTCCAGCCCGCCTAAGAACACTTGCTCAGGCAGGAAGGAATAAATATTTACAATTAGCTGGGGTTTCCGGTCCTGAGGCACTGAATCCAGGCAGCAACCGTCCACCTCACAGTCTGTTGAACCTTGTTAAGGTGGAAATCATGTTATATACTAGTTTCTGCTATCTTGATATTGCTTGCTGCTTTGCTTGTGCTTGAGCTTATTCATCTTTTGTATTTATTGCGTTTGCTTTTATGATCACCACTAGCGTAATATGCTTGTTATCTGCTCTTTGCTTGTTACATGCTTTAGCATCTCCGTGCTGCTTCAAGCCAGTCTTGGAACTGGGAGAACCTCCCCACCCCAAATTAAGTGACCCTCAGTGTTCGGGATTTAAAAGGTCCATTATGCGTGTGCTAGTTAGGAACATTCCTCCATCTCTCTTGCCTCTAGAGCCGGGCAATCATTGCAACTAATAATAAATATGGGGGAGAAGGGGCTGGCAAAGTGGCTCAAGTGGTAGAGCACCTGCCTAGCAAGCAGAAAGCCCTGAGTTCAAGCCCTAATATAGCCCAAAAGAGTCTGGGAGCACTGGGAGTGCTAACTGTGGGTCACAGGACCTTCATTCACAAAGCAAGACACAGCCCAAGCACTCATGTTGTTCCTGGTTTGTCATGAAGAAACTGGGCAGAGAGGTCACGTGATTTACCCAGGCCTCCAAAGTGATTAGACCCTGGCACACATCTCCACACTCCTGTCCAACTGGAACCTTCATGGCTGGTTTGCTGGACAGCTGGTACATCCCTCCTCCCGACCTCCTGGATTTACCCCCTTAGATTACATAAATTGTGTACATTTCTTCTATTTAACTGTGAGCTTCCTCGATGGCACTGACTTTGTCTTGCTCACCTTTGTGCTACACAATGTGCCTGGCATAATACTATGCACATACTTTGTTACATAACATAGATTTAAAAATCTATCACATCACCTCCTTTGCTGTTCAGCAGGGGAAACTTAAACCCAAGCATTAAAAGACTGAGAGAAAATGAGTGGCAGGCTAAATTTCATGTCCTATTATCCTTCAAAATCTACAGTAAACTAATGCAATTTATTTGTTCAGTTAGTGGGCATTTTCCATACAAAGAGAAACAGAGTTTATTGTTGGACACCTACACTGACAAACATTCTTTAGGAAAAACAAAAGAAAGAAAAGATCCTAGGTAGAAGCTGAAGCTGCAGGTAGATATGAAAGACTACAGAAAAGATGATACGCAGATAAACCTGCATTAATGCTATCCGGGGAGACCACAGTAATCATGCCTTAGTGGGGGCAGGGGTGATAAATGGGTAGCATTAAACTCCCTACCCAACAAAAAAAGCAAAAAAAAAAGTGTCTTCTAACGCTGTTATATTATCTGAAATAATGGCAAAAAAACCCACATCATATTTTGGAACATAAGTAAGCATGGTATAACCACTAGGGCATTCATTAAAAGTAAAGTAAAAAATGTGTAACTAATGAGAAAACATGGAATAACAAACAGTACTTGGTTAATCAAAAAGAGACTTCATCCAAAAGAAAGTAGCAACAGAAAAAGAGAGATTAAAAACAGACAGGACAAGAAAAAACAAATTATAAGATGGTACTTTTAAACCCAAATATAATGACATTAAAATACAAACACACTGAAGTTCTCTAAGTGACAAAAACTGTCATATTTGCTCATTATGAGACAATCCTTAAAGACACACATGTACAAATCAAAGCAAAAGGGTGCAAAAAGAGAAAACATACATGTTTTTTAATAGCTTTGGCAAAATCCCAAAAACTTCTCAGTATCATCCCATTACTGTAATGCCTCTTCGAAATGCTATGCCCTGGAAGAAAGGATAATGAGTCTGGAAGGCTGGGTTCAGTTTAAAAGTTGACCTTGAAAGAAGAGAGTGCCTGAAAAATACACCTCATTCCTCAGATGAAGAAAATGGAAGCCTTAGGATGCATTTAATTTTAAAAGGCCTCGTTGACCACCATGGCTAGTAATGGACCAGCTATTCTGGACAGAGTTTACCTAAAAGCCACACCAGGGTTAAATCCTTTGAATAGGAATATAACATAGGTGTTCTCAGACTTATGAACAGGGGGGAAAAAAAATTAACCATTAAAAAAATTGCCATTTTTATACATTAAGAGTCCATTAACTCCTAAGAAAAGTCTCAAATCCCAGCACCACCACAATACAGAGTGATACCTGATATGCAGTGCAAGTCCACATAAGATGGGAATAGTAAGTCTTAATTATGCCCCCTGCCTTCTGAGTCCCTTGTTTGACTCGACAAATCTCAGATATAAACTATGGACAGACTATGACGTTCATAAGAACTAGCAACCACAAATCCATGCTTATTGGTTATTAAAGTAAGAACAGGATCCAGAAGGTTGCTAGACAATGATGTACATTATTAAAACACGGAACAAGAAGCTTAGCACTGCCTTCTTGTCATCCATCATTAACACACAGGCTACAGGGGAATCAAACAGAATGCTAAAAGATGCTTGGTTAAACACCACTGTTACTCAAAACCTGAATAACAAAAACTAGATGTGATAAGAATCTTTTTGCAGTATAGAGGAGATAAGAGGAAGAAGAGAATTAACACGCACAAGACTTTGGCATTTGGGAAGGTGTTTTGTTTTCTTATTCATTTCTTATGATTTTCATCTTATGAATCACTTTACCTGATACACATCTCCTACTCTTCTTCTTCCATGGGCCCACCCAGACTTGGGTCAACCAAATCCTCATACTGATATTGCATCAATCACGTTACCTTTCTTGTAGGCATAATCAAGAAGTTCTAGTGACTTATTTTCAAGTATCTAAGTCCTTCTTCAAGTCTGCTGCTGTCTTACCAGTCCTTCCCTTAAAGCCAGCACTCCAAGCTCAATAACGCTTAGCTTCTGGACTCCCATTCTTTGTTTTTTTGGCAGTGCTTGGGATTGAACCCAGGACCTTGCACATGCTAGGCAAGGGCTCTTTCACTGAGCCCTTTATTTAAATAGCAAGCATTTTATTTTACTGGAGGGTAAGTATCTCCCTTTTCCCCCCCAAATCCAGCTACTTAACGTCTAGCTTTAGTTGTGCATCATACTTATGGAAATTACTTATCAGAAAATCACAGGACACTGCTGTGTGGTTTTCAATGTTTATACTTGGTCTATGAATAAGTATTTTTTTCTCTGAAATTCCACATTTCAAAAAAGTTAAAAATATACCAGGTGCTTTAAAGACCACCTTCAAAAGTCAACTAGCTCCTATAAATTCTTATCCAAACAGTTACATGTGGATAAAAAAATCCACCTGCAGCAGTCTGTACTGTCAATGTAAACAGATAAAAACATCTGAACTTCTTACGTGTAGAAAATTGAGTCTCCTGATATTTGATGCAGAATGAAAGTGAATTAAGTTGATATGGTAAAAAAAAAATCTTCACATATTTCTTAAGTAATGAGTTTAGATCACTGGAATAATAACAAAGAGAATGGCTTTTTGAATTGCAAGAGGGTTTTATCCACTCTTAATGCCTATATTTTCTTTAGTTTGGGAATACATTCCAAAACTTTAATCAAAGTCTGTGGGAAGTATGATTCAATACCAAATTCAGTACTTAATTTATGGTCTTCCAGGGAAGTACATTATGACTAAAGAATGGTTAAGTAAAATTAGTTACAAGGTGATTATAACTGCCATTTATAGAACAACTTCAGTAAGCCAGGCATTGTATACACTGTATTCATCGTATTAACAAATCATATATTAAAAAAAAAAAACAGGCTTACAAATATGGTTGATATATGTTACCCTTGATCACCCAGCTAGCAAGTATTAGAGCCAGCCTTCAAGTTCAACGCTACCCAACTCTAAAGTTAGGGCTCACTGACATAAACAAATTACACACTTCTGGGTCCTCCCTCAGTTTCCATCTGATGTGTGGGGTTAAACAACCAAGGAGGAGGAACAGTCTTGTTACTAACTTCTGAGAGTACCACTTACATCCTCAGGAAATGAAAGTGAACCTTCCTAACTCAACCACCTCACTTTTAAAAAAAAAATTCTCTGGAAGAGAGAAGATCCTTTTTGGTTTTGTTCAGTGTGCAATGCAAAATGAGACTGCAAGTTGGGTAACAGAATAGATCCGGCTATGCAGCCTGATGCTAGAACCTACCCCAAGGACAATGATTCTCAGCTTCGCACACAGAATCACTTCAGAGCTTTAAAAAAAATACTGATTCAAACTCCTCCCCCTAGAGATTCTGAACTGCTGGCCTGCAGTGGGGTCCAAGCATCAGAACTGTTTAAAAGGTCCGGATAAGTCTAGTGGATAACCATGGAGAACCCACGCCCTACAAGGTGGTTGTGGGGCGTACACTCAAATTCCTTACATCAGCTATTTTTCCTTGTTACGTATACCTGATGAAATGTGAAGCGCAAAGTGGTCACCAGGACTACATTACCTGGGTGGTATCTTCCATTAGTCCACGAATTTTCTCCACGACATCATTGCGCCGGTGCTGGCGCAGGGCACTGATTAGCTGGGCGAGGCTGGCCTCAGGGCCTCGGATGGTCCAGTGCTGCAGGGCTGCATAGGCCCGCTCGTGGTCTGCTGTGTACCCATTGGAGAAAGCAGCCATCTCTCTCTCGCTGGCATTGCAAAGAAACTGATAGATATCTTTCCACTGGCTTCCCACTTGAGCTGCTACAAGCTTCAGGATGTCAATACCTACGCCAGAGACAAAGTAAAATAAAAACACCTTAAAGCAACTGAGGCCAATAGGAAAAGGGGACCAGGATCTAGAGAAAAGGTGAGATCAAAAAGAATTAACCTAGAAGGTAACACCCACGCACAGGAAATCAATGTGAGTCAATGCCCTGTATAGCTATCCTTATCTCAACCAGCCAAAACCCTTGTTCCTTCCTATTATGGCTTATACTCTCTCTACAACAAAATTAGAATAAGGGCAAAATAGTTTCTGCTGGGTATTGAGGGGGTGGGGGGGAGAGGGAGGGGGTGGAGTGGGTGGTAAGGGAGGGGGTGGGGGCAGGGGGGAGAAATGAACCAAGCCTTGTATGCACATATGAATAATAAAAGAAAAATGAATAAATAAATAAATAAATAAATATAATATACATTTACAAAAAAAAAAAAAAAAACAAATACAAGCGTACTAGAAGAAGGGAGCTTCCCTGTTGCTCTGTCAAAGAGATGAATGGCCTTCTATTAGTAAGTAGTTGGCACACACAGCCCATCCTAGAGACATTTAGGTAACCCCATACAAACTTCACTTCCTGGGCTGGGGGTGGTGGGTCAGTGGTAGAGAACCTACCTAGCATTGTGCAAGGTCAATACCAAGGTCAACTGGGTTCAATACACAGTACCACAAAAATAAAATAAATAAAGCCAGCATGTTAATTTAAAAAATTAATTTCCTGAATGTGAAACCGGAAGGGTTGTTTTTGAAGCATAATAAATCACCCCCAAAAGATGCTTGAAAGCCAAGCCAGTCAAGGTAATCAGAGTGATTACAAAATACAACTGTAACTAAATAAATTAGAGATTCCCAGACTTTAAAAAAATAGTGGGATTTCATAAAATTTAGAAAAATAAAAAGCCAAACTAAGACTGAAGTGGACCTTATCCTGCCTTGGCTACATAGAGAATTTGCAGCTTCTAGGAATGGTGTCCTTTAAGTCAACTGACCACTGTACCCAAGTGTTCCACCCCAACAGAAGCACTTCTTAAGAATATGTACCTTCTCGACTCTCATTCTATGCTCAACACCAAGCAACTTTCTGGTCTATTATTCAGTCTCCTAATTTGGCTTGGTTATAATGATGACAACAGGCACAATGACAGTACAATAAGAAGCAGCTATTATCGTCTAGGTATTATGTTAAGGCATTAGCTCTTTGAACATTTTTATAAGGCATTAACATTCCAATTGCACAGGTCAAACAACAAAACAGTCAGCAAAGTTAAGCTACTGGCCCAGTATCACAAAGAGAGGTGACTTGGATATTGAACCTGTATCACCAGATAATTCAAACTCCCTCAAGTGTAACCACTATTAAATGTGTTAATACATGCTACGTTCCGAGAGACAAAATGCCTTTAAGCAAATGACCAAAGTAGGTCAATCTGCCAGGTATCTGCTGCTCCAATAACTTAACATCCATTAGTCCTCCTTATCCACAGGATACAATCCAAGACCCTCTGTGGATGCTAGAAACCAGATAGTAGCTAACTCTACAATTTAATACCTCTTCCGTCTTCACTTGAACCCTTATCACGCACACTGGCTGTATCTCTTCCAGGTGCAGGTGTGACAACAAAACTCGCAAGATTTCTTTTTCCTTCTCCACAATTTCAACAGACAGAAGATTCATTCTTACCATAGATCTTAGCAATCTCAGTATATAATTTTTCTTTCTTTTTTACAGTGAGAACTTTCACCTTTCTCCTTAAAGGAAGCGTTTTGTGGCTTCTCTTTGGTATGTGTGAATTGCCAACATTATTACTTGTGCACTCTGGGACCATTAAGTAAAATGAAGGCATCTTGAACACAAGCACTACAATACTGTGGCACCCAATGTGATAACCAAGGCAGCTACGAAGTGACTAACAGGCAGGTACTATATACTGCATGGATACACTGTATGAAGGATGCGCAGGACTGGATGGAACAAGACAACAGACTTCGTCATGTTGCTCAGAATGGCTTGTAATTTAAAACTTACAAATTACTTACTTCTTGATTTTCCATTTAATATTTTTGGACCTTAGCTTACCACAGGTAACTGAAACCATGAAAAATGAAACTGTGGATAAGTGGGGGACTACTATATATACTCCAATCATTCTGGCTCGTGAGTAACATAAACTTTGTGGATGTGTGTCTGTGGTCCTACATCTGATGAACACTAAGATGAAATACCAAAATCCAATTTCAAGGTCAACAAACTCAGATGAGCACTTGGCATGAGCCTTTGCCAAGGGAGGCGCTGCTAGAGCACCCCTCTTTATTGTCTTGGGCTTTGTAATAACTTCTCTGCAACTACAAAACACTGCCTGAATTTATACTTGTGTTGCATATATAACCCTCATGGAAGGGCTCTGGTATTTTATATCAGTAGGTGAGTGAGTGAATTCTCTGAAATCTGAATGAGGCTATACTTACCTTCCCTGATAGCAGAGCTGTTATTAACAACATTTTTAATGTCTTAAAAATATTTACTATTTAATTTTTAAAACTAAGACAAGTTCCCAAATGAAGTTAAGGGGAAATCAGTATTGATGAAGACATTTATAAAATGAGCTGCAATTTTTGCTTAAGGAAAAATAATAATAATTACAGAAGTTTCTTTGAAAATGGAGGCACTTGGTGGTCCCTTGACATAAATCCTTACTATGTCAATGCAATTCTATTGAGGTTGATATATATATATATATATATATTTCCTAAATCTATCTCTCTTTCCTTCTCTCTCTCTCTCTCCCCCTCTCTTGCTCTCTATATATAGATAGATAGATAGATCTTCTAAATCAATGCCCTAAAAATTTTGTCAAACCTAAGCTCCTAGAAGAATCCTTTCTCATCAAATGTAAAACTAGAATGCCACAAAAAATAAAAATTAAAAAAAAAAAAAGCCACAAATTGAGACATTACTGTATCTCCCATACTTTTTTCCCTGGCAAAATGAGGTGTAATTGAACCAGTTCCTATTCAGTTTTCATAGCAATGTTTAGTCAGAGCTTTTGATTTCAAGCAAAGAGACTCCTCAAAAAACCCAAGTCCTATTTAAAACTCCACAGGTAACTTTCAGAAACAAGCCAGCTCTTTATGGTTAATGTGGTAGACCTTCCAAACACCGAAAGGCTTGTTAGTCTCTGAGTCTTAATTTAGGTCACTTTGAGTAAGAACCACAGTGTCGTACATGAAAACATGAGTGTCTTTGCTTATAAGCAGGATCATTTCTTGTATCTTCATAGTGCCCATGACAGTGTGGCTTTGAGCAAACCACTAACTGTCATGTCTACTTCCTCATCACATGATGGACACACTCACTATGGTCCCTGTGGATGAACTGATTAACATTTTTCTGTAGAGTTAATTTAGTTTTGGAAGTACCCCTACACTGAGCACTAAAACTTAAGCCTCAGTGCATTTTGCATGCAAATCCACAGTCTTTATAGAGTAATTATAGAGTTTAAAAGGCTTTAAAACAGCTCCTTCTTCCAAAACCTAGTATTTATACTTTTCTTTAAGTCACAAAATAAAGAAAACCAAAAGAATAGATACAATGAGACACCCCTTCAACTCAAATAACTGGGAACTAAATTTAAAGCCTACAAACCAGGATTCTCTCATCCTCTTACTCAACAAGATGTCCCCACTATGAAAGCTTGGAGTCAACTATGAACTGGCTTCACCACTGCCTTCTCCCATTCTGGGGTTGATAAATCAAAGATGGAGCAGACAACAGCTCCTTCAACAGACAGCAGCTTTTCAACACATTATCGGACCCCAGTGAGGTTAAAAGTCAGAAGTAGCCCCTGAGTTGGCTGTTCCTTGTCCTCACCCCACCACCACCACCAAAGGTAGAAGAAAAATTTGAGGTATATTTATTTCAACAGTATTTTTTGAGCAGCCAGTATTTATTATACAGTTACCCTCTGTATCCACAGGCTCCACATTTATAGATTCAGCAACCGCAGATTGAAAATATTTTTTAAGTGCATCTGAACATGTACAAACTTTTTTTAGTCATTATTCTCTAAACAATATAGTATAACAACAATTTACAAAACACTTGGACTATATGGAACATTTTAAGTAATGTAGAAGTGACTCATAATATATGGGAGGATGTGTGTGTAGGTTATATGACAGCACTATGACATTTTATACAAGGGACTTGAGCAGCCTTGGATTTTGGCAGCTCTAAGAGGGTCCTAGGACCAATCTCCCATGGATACTGAGGACACGTATGTATATGCATGTGCTTTATGAACACACCTTTCAAGTATTTCATTTTATCTGCAGGGAATTTCACCAGTACAAGGCCACCCAGCCAGTTAGGGGTGCCTGTATTGCCACTGGTTGAGAAAGAAATAGAGGTGCATTATTATTCACAGGAATTATGTGGGCTCTCCCAAGACAGCTGACACCTGATCCATACCAAGAGAGTACAAGAATATAGGCATGAAGTGATCATCTGTTATGACAGAAGAAATGGTACTTTCCAGTGCATGCTAAAACCTCGAATTAGATACCATCTGGGTGACAACCCTACTTTGGGCCCCACTTTCAACTGCTCAATATCAGCTACAGTATGCAAAAAAGAGCTCCTTCTCTTTTTTACAAAAACCTGAACTGGTTTTATAATCAGAGAAGATGCTAAAGCTCTTTGCCTTTTGGAGATAAACATCTGAAGTGAGTGTCATTAGGAAGAACCCAGATGAAAGCCTTCCTTGTGACAGGTTTAAGGACAGTCAGGGGAAACAAAGGCTGTCTCTAATCACACAGTATAGTACTCTGGGGATCATGCTACACAACCAGGCTTCCCACAGAATGGGTGCAACCAAGACATGAATATGGTTATAAACATTTTATGGTATCAAACTCATCATTTAAAAGATTCAAGGCCAAGAGCAGTAGTAGCTCTAGCCTGTAATCCTAGCTGCTCAGGAGATGGAGATCTGGAAGATCACAGTTCAAGGCT